AGCACAAAAGAACTCACCAGCAACTTCCCCTCAGTGCTGCGATTTGAACATACCAACACATATTTCAAAAATGCTTCCATGCTAAGCCAGTGGGCTGTAACACCAGCTGAGAAAGCCAGAGACGGTTGTCTCGACTCTAAAGCCACTTCACAAATGAAAATCAAATATTGTCCCCCCCCTCCTGTGCCATTTTCCTGAGATTTGTCTCCTTGCCTGAAAAAAAAAGCAGTTTCCTGAGACTTCACCCAATGCTCTAAAACAGACCTGGGCAAAGTGCGGCCCGAGGGCCACATACAGCCCGCGAGCCGCTCCTGTCTGGCCTGCTGGTTGTCGCTCCAGTCCAGTGTTCAAGCACTTGTTCAAGCCGAAGACAGACTGGATTTTTCTCACTGAACAAGTTGAACATCAAAACCATTTATAGCTTTTTGTCTAATGTTGATCAGTTGCTTATCTTTAACATACCGCAAAAATACCTCTTTAGTATTCGTGAAGATCAACAAGTTTAAACTAAAAACAATCATAACATCACTGTTTCATTTTATTTTTAAGTAAAGTTGGTTCGGTCCCCAAACACAGTTCAGATTTTTCATATACCCCCCCCCCAGAAATTAATTGCTCACCCCTGCTCTAAAACCTGGCATACCCGATTTACACCATATACATGCACATGCACAATGGTATCACGGTACTTTACCAGGCAGCTAATGAGAGACTGGTCCTACTATGAGTTCCTTTGATATGAAGTAAAAACAGAATATGGGTTATGATTCAGTCAGATAACATATTAAGACGTTTTGCATAACTAATCTCTTTCTTCTTCAAATGCTCCAGCACTTCTTGAAGAAAATAGATTCACCATCATTCAATGTAACTGAGATTAAATCAGAGCCTGATATAATACTGGTAGTGAATGGGTTCATTGTGGTTCTAATAATATGGTGTCACCTATGTGGGGTATATGAATAAGTTAAGTACACTCATGTGAACTCTTTCTAGAAATGCTCTTCTGGTAGCTCTCTGGATAATAATTCAGACTAAAGATTCATAGAAAGGTGCAGGGCTGGGCTCAATGTAAGCTGGTGGTTCAGACTTTACAGTGGACCCTCGACTTACAGACGGCTCGACTTACAGACTTTTCGAGTTACAGACTTCTCTGGCTGCAAAATTTAGATTCGACTTGCAGCCAGAGATTCAACTTACAGACCAGAAAAAAACCAAAATGGAACAAAAATAGAATAAAAACTGCCAGTTATGGGATTAATCAGTTTTCAATGCATTGTAGGTCAATGGAGATTCGACCTACAGACTTTTCGACTTGCAGCCACTGTTCCAATACGGATTAATTCTGTAAGTAGAGGGTCCACTGTAGTAGTTCCAGCTTCACTCGTCTTCCACATCCCTCCCTTTTCTATATACTTGCTTGTTCTTTTGGGTTCTCTCCAAGCAAGAAGCCTGGCAGGGTTATTTTACTGATTAATAGACTTAACTTTCTACTTGCTGCTGCCAAGACTGCCTGCTGTATTTTTTCGTACTGTCACTTGCTGTGTTGCCTCTAGGATAAAATGAGTCCAGCCCACCCCTACTCTGCTGGGTGACTGACTTCCATGATTAAGAATTACATTTTGTGCAGAAGGGCCTTGAGAATTCTTACTTATCCGGATGCTACATAAACTCCTCTGACCCTTTCGTGGCATTTGTGATGGGAAAAGTTTAGCTTACTCTCGTAGCCACTCTCTCAATCTCTCCCCCTCCATCTCTGTAAATCTGCCATTGCTGAAGGGGGCCAATAACCTTCTTTTCTCTTCCTTCCATCCACGGAAGACAGATATCTCTGACACGCCATGAAGCTCACTGGGTGTCCTTAGGACAGTCACTGCTTCTCAGCCCAACCTACCTTCCTGGGCTCTTCTAAGAATAAAATAGACTATGGAAGAGAACAATGTGCACCACCCTGAGCACTGTGAAGGATAGGTTAAATGAACATTAAATAAGCAACCAATCAAAGCTCTTTCCTACCATTTGGGCTATTGTAGTGGCGAGATTCTAAGCAACAGAAGTTCAATAATTATAGTACAAATAATAAAAAAGTGGGATCTACAGTGAAATGTTACAGTGGCATAGTCTTGGTTGAATCTTGGGCTTGAAGTCCAGGGACTCATGAAAGCCCAAATGCCCAAGTAGATAATGGTATGTGATGGAGGCTCTGGCAAAGAGGTCCAGGGTCAGCACATGGGCTGCCATGGGCATGGCAGGGCCCACCAAGGCTGAGACTGCTTGCCAGAGAATCCATTCTTCATTCTTAAAAAAACAAAACACTTTGATAAGGTGGTAGCCAGCCACGCATTGCTACTGTGGTTGACTTTGTAGAGTTTGTTCCCTTGTGAGTCTAGTAGGCATAAGGAAATGGAATCAATCCAATGTGAAGGGGGGAGGGCAGAAGAACCCTGTGAAATGTGAATCATAGGAAACTATGCGGGTTAAACCACAGAAGACTCTGTGCTTTAAGGTCTGTAGATCTTCAGCTGTAAGATCGAATCCACGTGCCGGAGTGAGCACCCATTGCTTGTCCCAGCTCCCGCCAACCTAGCGGTTCGAAAGCATGCAAATGCGAGTAGATAAATAGGGACCACTTCGGTGGGAAGGTAACAGCATTCCGTGTCTAAGTCGCATTGGCCATGTGACCACAGAAGATTGTCTTCGGACAAAACACTGGCTCTATGGCTTGGAAACAGGGATGAGCACCGTCCCCTACAGTTGAACATGACTGGACAAAAATTGTCAAGGGGAACCTTTACCTTTACTATAAGAAGTGAAATGCAATGTAGTATAACAGAAGTAATATACAGTACATGGAAACAAACAAAATATTGTGGGATACTCTAAAGAGTAAGCACAGTTCAATTTTTGATAGATTCTTTCTAAATACTTAAATGTGCATCAGGAGGAAGGGGCCTTGGAAGACGATCACAATCACTAGCATTAGAAAACTTTTTGTTGTTAGGTGTTTAGAGTGAACAAAATGAAATCTTCCTTCATTCTTCAGGGTGACAGTCACTATTGATCAAGAAGAGACTTTCCAGAAGAAAGATGTCCTCCATCTGTCTAATTAATGTCAAGGGCTTGAAGCTTGACTAATGAGTTCATTCACATCAGAGACCAGTTTGGATGGGAGGCTGGCAGAGAAAAGTGAAACAGTGGTTTTATCCTGTTTCCCTTCTGTCTGGATAGAAAGACTATAGCTATTGACAGCTATTGGAGCTTCTATACACCATGCCAGGGACTTTCTGAGGGCCAACCCTCTTCCCAGCAGAAGACCTTGGCATTGCTTTAACCTTAGGACCAGAAGTAGAATACCTCATTGGAAGTGCAGGCATATGAACAGGTTTATCGGAGGTCTAGTGGAATGTTCTTGGGATGAAACATTTCACTAGAAGCCAGGGATGGGAAGCATGTGGTTCTGCAAATGTCACTGTACTCCAACTCCTACCATCCCTCACCACTGGCTATCCTGACTGGTGCTGATGAGAGAACAGTTAACATCCACTGGCCACACATGCCCCAGTACTGTCTGAAGTCAATTAGCATTTCCACTATGATTATTGTAAAATCTGCACTTTCCTACCCATGTGGTCTTAAAAAGCAGAGCCAACCATGCTGTCTGTAAGTTCCCCACCTTTGTTTCTCAGACCGCTTTTAGAGGCTCCTCGCAGATTCTTCGGATACAGTACCTTCTTATTTCTAAAGGAACAGAGCATCCTCGCTTAAGAGTTGGGTTCAGAGGAGCGCTGCTCGAAAGCTGCTACTGTATTACCTACTCTGGAAATAACAAGGCTCCAGCCAAAGCATGCATTAATTGATTGAGAGTTTGGGAGCTCAAGAACAGACAGGGCGATGCGGTGAAATCCCAAAGGACCAAATAAGTAACCTTGGCAAGGACGGAAGACAAGCAGTAGCTTCGTCCTTCAAGACCTCTGCTCCCAAGCGCGTTTGTGTCCAGCGGATATAACTTGCGAGTGGAGGTTTGCTGGGCTGCAGGGCGCCAGAACCAACAAGGCTGTAGCTGTCCTTGGGCCTCTCTGTCTCTCCAGCTACCTCTTTGCAAAGGCGTCTGTGCTGGGACTCTCTCTGCGTGTGTCTTTACAATATGCGTGAATGCATCCCTCGACAATAGACTCCCGTTTCTCCGTTGAAAGCTCCTGTTGTTTCATTGTCCCTGTTTTGTGCATGGAGTGTGCGAGGATTCGTGTGTGCGCACAAGCCCTCTCTGCCTAGGTGTCCGGGTGTCGGCCTGCAAGTGTGTTACGTCTGCGCTTCTCCATAAACAGACAGGCAGGCAGGCAAGCAGGCAGGCTGCCTGCCTTTCTTGTCCCGTTTCATCCCTATCCTTATTTGTTTG